GGTCAAAATACTAAAAAAAAAAAGTGTTTTGTTATTCAGCGATATAGAGCATCAATTTGCTCCAAACCACTGAAAATGCAAACACTGCAATTTGTAGCGTTTGCACTTAGCGTTTCAGGATAAGGCTTTCCTGTCCCTAAAACACCGCTATATTATTTTATTTTTTAACCAACATTTACTGTGTAAGAGCCATTTCAATTCATTGAATACAAGAGCCAGTTTGGCTGGCTCACAACTTTCCCATCAACGACTGGGCAAGCTTAATGTTTACCTTGGAGCTTTGAGGTTCTTTTATAGGAGCCTCAAGGTTCCCGTGCCACTTTTTCCACCGATGTAGAAAAAGTGGCAAAACGAAGGGGAGCCGAGCTGACTCCCCTTGTGCTTAATTTTTTTTTAAATTTTTTAATTTTATTTCTTTATATTAAATTATTATTATTATTATTATTATTATTATTATTATTATTATTATTATTATTATTATTATTATTATTGATACATTTGCAACAAGAAAATGTTATTAAGCTTTCTGATTTATAATGATTGACATGCAAATTTTTCACTCGAAATATTTTACAACGTCGTGCTGGTTTTACGACCGATGGGTAGCCGTTCGGCGGGACAACACTACCATAAACGCTTACAGGGCGTTTGGTTGGAGGGGGGGAATTATGTGGGAAAGGAATTGTAATTCCATGGGAGTTGAATTACTGGGAATAAAGTGGGAATTTAAATTCCAGTGTTTGGTTGATAGGAATAGAATTACTGGGAATTTCAATTCCAATGTTTGGTATACATGGGAATTGAAAGGGAATAAGTAGTATAAAGTCAAAAATGTCCATTATTGTTGTTAGACATTAATTTTAGGTTAAAAAAGGAAGGGGTAATTTTGACTCATCACTATCTTTTTTTCCTAGGAATTAAAATACCGGGGGGGGGGGGGGGGGGGGGGGGGGGGACATGGGATTTTAATTCCATGAAAATGGGGGAATTGCAATTCCATGGAATTGCAATTCCCTCCAACCAAACTACGGAATTTAATGGCCTTTGGAATTAGGTGGGAATTAAGTGGGAAGGGAATTTAAAATCCCTCCAACCAAACGCCCTGTTAGGGTTTTGCGATTGTAGTTGAGAGAGAGTAATGTGTTATTATTCCAAGAGAGTTTCGACTCTTTACATGATGACCTTGTGGGGATATTTATACAAGAGAACTAGCTTTCGACAAGGAAAGTAGGTCAAAAAGTAGAGCTAAATTGGCTATGGAATCTACCATAATTAATGTAACAGCTGCCAAAGCTGGAAAACGGAAGCTATTTAGATAAGGAAAAGAATCTCTGCTAAATCCACCGTTAACCGTTTCTGGGTGCGTACTCGGTCGGGGACGCACTGCTCGCCTGGTGAGGTAGCCCAACTAGGAAGGCTGAGACACTCAAGCAAGGACGCTGCCGCGTAAAGCCTAGTCGCCCGTCCGGGTCCTTCGTAAGGAACTCGGCCGAGGAACGCCGACTACCGAGCCTGGTCGCCCATCCGGGTCCCCGGAGGAAACCTAGTCGAGGACACGCCAACTACTGAGCCTATTCGCCCAGCCGTTCTTGGATGGAACCCAGTCGGGGACACGCTGGTTTCTGGGCTTGATCACTGTGCTATTAGCCAGCCGGCTCCTATCTGGGTGCATGCTCACTTGCTAGCCTGGTCTCCCGGGTGCAGCATCCTTTCTCGAAGCCACCAAGTGTTAAGCCGTGCTCGTGCCTGACTGCTGCTTAGCCCTTTCTAGTCCGGGAGCCCGATTTGGGGTATCTATCACCAGTCCTTCACTTTTTTTTTTTTTTTGGATTTAGTCGAGCGATAATCCGAAAAAGCAAAAAGTGCCGATAAGATTTGACTGCCTTGACACAGTTTTCCTCTTGTACGAGCCGGTGCCTAGCCGGAGACCTGTGCATCTACCAACTGGTTCCACCTACGCCCCGACTGGTTATGCGAAGCGGTACGGTCGCAGATGTGTAATTATGACAAACACCTCAACTTTCGCCTACGATCAAAACAATGGAAGGCACAACAATGTGCACTACAAGACACAACAATTTATTGTGCTCTCGAAGGGTAAACAATGTGCTCTGGAAGGATGAACAATATGTACACTAAGGCAAAACAATATACAATTCGAAGGCACAACAATGTATAGTACTCTGGAAGAAACAACAATGTGTTCAGGAAGACACACCAATATGCTCTGGAGACCGGCTCAACAATGTGCTCTGTAAGGCAAAGCAATGTGCACTGGAAGGTATATTAAGGTGCTCTGGAAGGAACACAACATTGTGCGTATAAGACATACCATTGTGCTCTGCAAGAATGGAAAATATGCACTAGAAGAAAAATAAAACGAACTTATGTAAACAAAATTACCATAATACCATCGCATTATTTATTTATTTATAAATATCTCCAATTTGGACCCTTGATCTGGACTCAATCAACACATATAATTTAATCCTATTTTTCACCTAAGGCAACTGTTTCACTTAACCGCATATATATATATATATATATATATATATATATATATATATATATATATATATATATATGCAATTTAGTATTTTGTCTATTAAAGTTTAAGTTTATGAACATATATAACCAATAATATTATGAGTATAGTATATAATAATATTATTAAACAAGATGTATTAGTTGACACAAAATAAAACGATGTTATTTTGGGGTTCACCGTGATTGTGCTTTCTGGTCCTAGACATCGTTTTCCAATTATTAAGGACGAGATCAATTTGCACAAAGAAAATCAAACTTTCATTAAACAATATTCTCTGATCTACCCATGCATAAAGTAGAAATATTTTTTTGGAAGACCGTGAAAGCCCAACTACCCACTAAATTAACTATCCTAGAATAGTGTTAAATTTGTGTGTTATTTTAGTTGCGTTGCTATTTGTCTCCATCTCTAACAACCATTTTGATTATTATATTAGCCACTAGCTAATTACTCTATTTCAATTCATATGACTAGCTGACAAAATTGCTAGAATAATTTATCCTAAAATTATCTACCTGTAATGGTCTCTTATTTTAAAAAATAAGTCACATCTTATATATTATCACATTTGTAATTCAACGCTAAGTGCAATGCATTTTTAAAAAAGTGAAGATTTTAGTGTTCAAGTTTGCACAATAAAATTGGTGATAAATACAAAAATATCATATTTTTTATTTTTAAATCTGATCTAGTCTGTCCAATTTTTACAGATGTAAAACTAAGATTGATTTTTAATTTTCTCCTAAGAACTTGTTCTCCCGTCATGACCTTTAAGTCAAGCGACTTGAAGTACGTATTTAATCACTATTTTCTGGATATAACTTTTAGAGTTAATACCTCCAATGGTCCTACGAGTATTAGGGGTATACCAGTTGTAATCCTCCGAGTTTTAAATGACCACGTGACAGCCTCCATGTTTTAAAAAATAATCACTCGTGGTTATTTTAGGACGTCTCGTGATCATTTTAAACTCGGATTTTTTAAAAAAAATTAGGACCACTACTGGTTTTTTTTTAAAACAATGAAGGAAGTCTCGTGGTTGTTTAAAATTCGGATGATCATAGCTGGTAAACCCCTAATACTGAGAGGAGCTCGCATGGGTAGCTCAACTGGTCATAGAGGTGAAACCTTGAAAGAATGACCAGGGATCGAGTCTCACCAGCGGCAGTGTGGGAGCAACCTCTCAAAGTGAGGGGGCTCCTTGTGCACAGTGAGCACTGGTCTAGCCTCTGTGGTTCATGTCAATTGTTATACCCTACACCACGGCCCACATAGCACTATGCATCGCGCGCCTCCCATGGGAGGCGCGCTAGGTTATGTACATCCGAAGCAACCTCTCAAAGTGAGGGGGGCTCCTTGTGCGCAGTGAGCACCGATCTAGCCTCCGAAGCAACCTCTCAAAGTGAGGGGGGCTCCTTGTGCGCAGTGAGCACCGATCTAGCCTCTGTGGTTCATGTCACGGCGCACATAGCACTGTGTGCCGCGCGCCTCCCAAAACGACGTCGTTTTGGGAGGCGCGGTAGGTTATGTACATTCTTTTTATACAATTATGTACATCCGAATCAGAAAATTTGTGTGTATTATGTTAATAGTTGATGTGTATTATGTTAAAAGTTTATGTTTATTATGTATTATGTTAGATTATGTGTATTATATTTAAAAAGAGTATGTATATTTTGTTATATAATTATGTACATTCATGTATACAATTATGTGTATTCTAGTATAACATTATGTACATTCTTGAACAGCGGGTTTTTTTTTTAAGAAAAAACTACTGCCATTCACTGGGGCGGGAAATTTAAAAAAAAAAAAAAGAATTAAAACAACGTCGTTTTGCATCTGGACGCATATTGCAACGCGCGCCGTGGTGTAGGATATAAATTGCCTATTCATGTTCAGTTGAGTCACCATGATTTACATCCTCCCAAATGCTCTGTCGGGCCGGGGTGTGGGGGGCCTTAGGGTTGGGGTTCAGCATTTGAAAGAATACTGAGAGGACCAATAACTTTTAGGGAAAATTGTAAAAAATGCCCCTCTATAATATGCCAATTATCAATGTCACTCCTGAATTATGAGTGGTGTAAATGTTGCCCCTCAATTATCAAAATGGTGCACATATAGCCCCTCCCGTAACGGACATGTGGTTCCCCGTTAATGTACGACATCGTTAAGTCGGAGTAAATATGTAATTTAGTTATTTTTTCCCTCCCTCAATTCAAAGTACCAGTGATGGACAGCGGTGGGAACCACAGGTCCGTTACGGGAGGGGCTATATGTGCACCATTTTGATAATTGAGGGGCAACATTTACACCACTCATAATTCAAGGGTGACATTGATAATTGGCATATTATAGAGGGGCATTTTTTACAATTTTCCCTAACTTTTAACTCCATACGGTAACTGGTAAGTCGATACTATAAATAGGTGGGAAGTGCAGATAGATTCTACATGCAGCAACTCGTTTAATAAAGTAGAAAATTAAAAATACAGCTGAGAAAGATCTATCATGGCTGAAAATGGGAAACTCCATGGTGAGCTTCTTCAAGCCGAAGCCCATACATGGAACCACAGTCTGAGCTACATAGATTCTGCAGCACTCAAATGTGCTGTTCAGTTAGGCATCCCAGATACCATCCATAACCATGCTAAACCCATGCCTCTTTCCAACCTTATCGCCGCCCTTCCTATCCACCCTTCCAAGGCTCCCTACATCCACCGCCTCACCCGCTTTTTGGTCCACTCCAGCGTGCTTTTGGTCACAAAATCTGGAGGAGATGAAGAGCAAGAAGAGTGCTACTCACTCACGCCTGTAGGCCGCCTTTTGGTGAAAGAAGAAGCCATAAATTTAAGGGCATTCCTTAACATTTGTAATGAATATGTTTTCCAGAAGTCATGTTACGCCTTGGGTGATTGGTTCCAGAACGACGATCCTAGCCCGTTTTGCACTGCCCACGGGGAGAAAATCTGGGACTATATCTCCCATGAGCCAGTGTACAATGATGTTTTTAATGAAGCCACGGCTAAAGATTCGGAATTGATCATGGAAGTGTTGTTGAATGGCGAGTCGAAACGTGTGTTTGATGGGCTTAAATCGTTGGTGGACGTAGCTGGTGGCAACGGTGCGGTTGCCTCAGCCATAGCCAAATGTTTTCCGGCTATGAAATGCATTGTCCTCGATCTCCCACACGTCATAGCCAGTGTGCCTGCAGGGAACATTGAGAACATGGAGTTTGTAGCTGGAAATATGTTTGAAAGTATCCCTGCTGCTAATGCAGTATTACTCAAGGTATTTTTTTTCTTCTACTTAATTACAGATTTGGTCCCTCGACTATAAGGATTTAAGGATTTCACCAATCTGGTCCTCGACTTTTAAAATTTCATAATTTAGTCCCCGACTATATTTGACATCTGTTAACTCGAGACCAAATTGGTAATTTGCTATAGTCAAGGGACCATTTCGGTCATCATATGCACCATTTTCTCCGAAAGTTAATTACTGAAATGGTCCCTTGACTATAGTGAAATTACCAATTTGATCGCGAGTTAACAAATGTCTAACAGTTAGGACCATTTCAGATAAAAAAAAACATAGTCAGGGACTAAATTGAGAAATTTTGAAAGTTCAGGATCAGATTGAATCCTCATAGTCGAGGGACCAAATCGGTAATTAACTCTTTTTTTCTTCCCTTTTCTTCCCTTTACTCATCCTTTACTAATTTATTTCTCTTGGTCTTTAAGCCTATGCCCAACAATTCTCTAACCACTGGGTGCTGGACATGATATTTCACCAATTTCTGCCTAACAATTCCGTCAACCTTAATTGCTTTTGTTGGAATTGTGACCTGACTCTTACATCACTTGTTAGAATCAAACGCTTATCATTACACCAAAAGTTGTAGCGCACCGCGAATGCACAACTTTATTTCATTATATCTCCACATTGTTGGGTGCTGGACTTGACCCTTAAAGGCCTCCGCCCAACAATCCCCCAGCCACCGGGTGCTGGACTTGACATTTCGCTGGCCTCCGCCTACAACAATTCCCCCTAGCACCGACAAACTACTTGTTAGGAACGAGCACTTACCACTACACCAAAAGGTATAGCGCATATCGAATACACAACTTTATTACATTATACCTCCACATTTTAGAGCTGTAGGGTGCTAGACTTGGACTTCTGCCCAACAATATCCAGCCACCTGGTGCTGTAGTTGGCCTATCACCAGCCTCCGCACAACACATATATATAAACCTAATATCATATCATTAATGAGATCTGATCTTGAAATGCAAAAAATAATTAAACAGTGGATTATGCACGACTGGGAAGATGAAGAGTGTGTGAAGATATTGAAGAAGTGCAGGGAGGCAATTCCAATTAGGGAAGAAGGAGGGAAAGTGATCATCATAGACATGGTGATGGAAGATCCAAAACGGACTGACGCCTATTACAACAAAGCGCAGCTCTACATGGATTTCTTAGTGATGGCTCTCTATGGGAGTAAAGAGAGAAACAAGAAGCAATGGGAGAAACTCTTTTCTGAAGCGGGTTTTAGTGACTACAAAATAACACCCACCTTGGGGTTAAGGTCTCTCATTGAAGTCTTCCCTAAATAAAATGTTATGTTCCTTTGTATTGTGGTGCATGTTTGAATAAAACTTGTAAGCCTCATACATCAAGCATTTCATCATTCTGTTTGCTAAATTATATTGTCAGGCATTCAATATGATAGTTTAAAAAAAACAAAAGAAACAAAAAACATTTCTTATATGTTGCCTTAAATTGTTCTTATATATTTAACGGGAATATTATGATAAACTCACAGTTGAAACTATGTAAGTAAACTCGTAGAATTGATAGGGAAAACTCTATCAACATTTCATGCCAGTAACCTTATATTCCAACAACATTATAGGGTGAAAAATTATACCAAACATTCTTTACATATCTTAGCATTACTTGTGACATGCCGGAAAACATAACCAACTTTTGATGAAAAATCATAATGCAAGACTTGTTGGTTCACAGGCAGTGCCTGAAGCACATGCTACCCCTCATAGGGGGTGAAAGGTAACGTGGTAGAGGGAGGGGTCGAGGAGATACTAGTGGGTCTTGTCGAGGACGAGGAAAAGGAAGAGGCTTCAACAATGTTGATGATCATGGACAAAGACGGGATACTAAATCATTTGCACAAAAATCAATTGAATTTCAACAAATCACTCGCCATAAACAGATTTATTATAAGTGTGGTTGTAATGGACATTGGTCTCGTATCTACATACCCACCCCAATAAACTTGGTTGAGACATATCAAATAGTGCAAAAAGGATAAATCGATGAATGAGATCAAAGGTGAATCACATCATGTTGCTGTTGTGCTTGAAGCAAACAATCTACTGAATATTGATGATGATGCTTTCTTAAAGGCTGAGCTTGAATACTTCGTAGATATTATATATATATATATATATATATATATATATATATATATATATATATATACAAACATATATATACAAACATGCGGATTTGATGGGGCCGTTGGATGATACGATTGGGTGGTTAGGATTTGTTGATGGGTTTGAGTCGTTTTATTTCCTTTTCATATGTTTTTATGTTAGGGGGTAATTATGGTATTTGACTCAATTAGTAACCTAGTCAGATTTCTCTATCAGTTTCACGCGCCCGTATTTTTTGCTTTGTATTTATTTTTATCGCTCTCTTTTCGTAGAAGGTGAGGTGACGCCGTTGATCACTCGCATCATTTGGTCAGCATTCCATCATCGTTCTTCACGTAGCAATGGTCGTCGGTGGGGTCTGGGGTACAGCGAAGTGTCGGGGATCATCTATTCGGAGGTGTCGGCCGAGGTATTTTTTTTTTCTTTTTTGCGGTTTTCGCATTTTTTTTTTTTTTTTTTTTGTGTTATTGTGTTCTGTGTTTGTGTTGTTGTTTTTGTTTGGGTTATGCAGACATGTCGGCAACCTAGTCGTCGTGTGTGGTGGGGGTGTTGTGGGCCTGCCGGGTTGTGATCGGAGTTTGTATGCATAGGTTTTTTTCTATTTGTTGTTCTTACCTGTTGTCAATATTGGGTTAAATTTTGCCAATTTATTTTTCTGATGTCTTTTTTGTCCAGTTTTTTTTTTTTTTTTTTTTTTTTTTTTTGGCGTTTTGATTTCGACATTTTAAATATATGTTCTGTTTTCCCCATATACATATTGTACTTTGGTAATTTGGTATGCCTCAGATGAATGCCAAATAAACAATACTAAGATTGGATTACTCCATGAATGCCAAATATACATATTGCTTACTACTAGATTGCTCTAAGGACCATGAATGCCTCAGATGAATGCACTTTACTTACTACTGTGTTGAAACTAAGTAACCTAATGTCAAAATTTATTATTTTATAGTGCAAAGTTATATTATTAAAAAAAAAACAATACTAAACTATTCCTAGGATTGCATGTTTCATTGTGATTAAGATAATAATTAAATTTGGTAATTAGTGAATCTCTGCGAATAGTACTGTATTCAATATGTATATATTATTGCTTACTATTGTGTTGAAACTAAGTAACTTGAGGTCAGAATTCATTGTTTTATAAAACAAAGCTATATTATATACATAAATAAAAAAAATCATTAGTTATTCAAATGAGAACAAATTCTAATTAATGTCTTAATTAGAATTAATTTAGTTGTCAAAGCAAGGAAAAAACAAAATTCATTGTTTTATAAAACAAAGCTATTATATATATATATATATATATATATATATATATATATATATATATATATATATATATATATATATATAAAACAAATCATTAGTTATTCAAATGAGAACAAATTCTAATTAATGTCTTAATTAGAATTAATTTAGTTGTCAAAGCAAGGAAAAAACAAATCATTAATTTTCCTGGGGTCATATTTGTGTTTCAATTGCGGTGCACTATCTGTTTGTTGGTTTTATACATTTTTTCCTTTCTAGGTGTCTGTTTATATATCTTTTAATGGTTGTTTTGGATTAGTTGGCTGTTAGTGCACACACTTTGAAGTTGGTGTCCACATACCTATTTGCCTTTGTTTTTTTTTTCAAGATTTATGTTGTCTGTTGAGATTGGTTTCTCCCAGTTTTGTTGCACACTGTTTCTTCGTGCACATAGTATCACCCACTGACGCACACTGTTTCTTCTGCAGTTCGACGGCGAGGTGTGTAGAGAGATATATGAGGCCATAAAGTTGCTAGTTGGGATAAAACAATGGCCTTCTAATTGTGCTCTTGATGGTGAAGTTCTGACTAGTTCATTTTTTGGGAGAACTTTGTTGATCCTGGGTTAGGCATGTTGTTAGCGTAGGATGTTAACTTTTTGACAGTTACAATATCATTGCACCTACTGTATCTATTTGGTCTTTTGGATGCACATTTAATTCGTAATGCTATTTTCCTTTGTTTTGATCAGTGATTATATCATCGCCCGTACTTGTATGTGGTCTCCATTTTTGAACATAATGTAGTTATGTGGGTGCATATTGTTCATGTATGCCTATGAAATAATGGATGTATCATTTGGCTCATTATATACATGTGCACAAGTTGGTTATGAGTATTGGACATTAGTGGTGTTCTGTCTAAACGTGTGCACATCACCACACATCCGTATGAATTACTATGTGATTCCTAGAAATCCCAACCACCAAATATTAAAATCATGCCATTTCTGTTACTGAACACACATGATTATTAAAATGTACACTATACTGAATGACAGTTCTGTTTGTGCACACACAGGTGATAAAAAACTTATAGCTGTGTTATTTTGTTCTTAAATCTGCATGTGCACACACCTAGGAGCATGTGTGCACACAAAATATCTCAAGTTTGTTATTCACGCACTAAAGAATATGAACTGTAATACATTTTGTAGTTTTCAACTACCAGGTACTGTTTCCTTCAATTTATTCAATTATAAGTCATTTTATTTATTAAAAAAAAAAACAAAGTTAGTACTGAACGTGGTCTTTCAGTTCTAGTTGTGTTATTCGGTCTTAAAACTACTTGCGCACACACCTAGTAGCCTCTGTGCACACACAGACACACAATATCTCAAGTGTGTTATTCATGTACTAAAAATATTAACTGTAATAAATTCTGTATATTCCTGCATGCAAGTACATTCAACTACCAGGTACTGTTTCCTTCGATTTATTCAATTATAACTCAACAAATAGATCTGCAGTCTATTTAGTACGCACTACATGTTCTACTATTTCAAAACGTTGCCCAACAAATTGTTGAAATTTTTTGGTCGCATTCTGGTCTCCAAAGCTTTGTACCATCTGCGGAAATGTCCATTACACATTCATCTAGCCCACCAACATTTTGTTCGCCACCTATGAACCACACTAACCAAACAAATCATTATCATATTGTTACTAGAAAGTATTGTGTCAATTAAATGTCTGCCTTAATTACTTGTAATCACGCAACGGTAGGACGGAATTTCCGTCCAACATTTAGTGTCGGTCGGAACCTCCGTCCAACGCGCGAATGTTGGACGAAAATTCCATCCAACTTTTTGTCCATCCCTATTTACGACAGAAAGTTGTGATTTTTTTCAAATTACCGACCAACATTATTGTTGGACGGAAATAGCAAAATTTCCAGCAGTGACATATCCGACCATGAACGCACACATTACACAATTTAATGTGACCTGTGTCATTCGAAAACTAACAACATACCCTTTGACCTTTCTAGTTTGTCTACTAACATTTGACCATGCACACAGATCGTTCACTATATGCACACAATTTGATATGGTTTAAGATGTGTACTGTGCATTCCACTGTCTAAGTGTATGCATAGTATTTTTATAATCATACTTCATTCTTTACCCAATGAATAAACATTCATCATTCTTAATAAAAAGAGCATATACATTTCCACAAGATATTAGATTATATTAAACAAGCACTAATATAGGTAATTTATATGATCATAAGATGATTGAAACCATTTAAATTTTTTTAATTTATTAAATTAAACTTTTTCTGACCTAAAATAAAATTTAAAAAAAATCATGAATATTAGACATAGTTTAACCTAGAACAAATCTTAATCCAATTGCCACCAAGACTCCACTTATTAATATTATTTTAATTTGGTATTATGTTTATATAAATAATGTCTTTGATTTCAGTCTCTAATTTTCTTACATATGGTATAAGTTTGAATTATAACTTTCTTACATATGGTATAAGTTTGAATTATATCTTTCGCCCTGTTTCGTATAGCTAGTTTATAAGCTAACTTAATACTGAAAGCTTAAAAGTTGTTAGGTCTAGTTTATTTTAAAACATTACTTATATAGTTTTTGAGATTGTTCCTTTTAATCGTAATCATAGTTTTTGAGATTATTCCTTTTAATCGTAATCAAAGATGTTTTCTTGTCTCTCGTTTCTTTTCTGATAATAATTTTTGAATTAATTTAAATATAACATGATAACAAAAATAAAAATAAAAATAATTTATGATCCCTACATACATACATATTGAAAGCTACCCCTTAACATCCATACCGTAACCATTTTTACTTTAATACTTCTTCAATCATATAATTAATCGATTACACAGTGGGAAGCACATTTGACATGCACACAGATCGGTCATTGTGTGCATACAGATTGATATGGTTTAAGATG